TTGTGTAACTCTATAAATCGATATTTTGCCTACGGTTATTAATATGAGAACATTGAAACCCAATTTATGTTTATTGCTTTTGTTATTTAATTATAGTAACTCCGTAGCTATATTGGAAGTGTTCTCGCAATAACGAGATCTTGTAATCGAGAATCTCAAGCAATTTATCTCAAAGCACAGAAACGAAAAATTTAATACGTTGAATTCAACCCCAAAACGCATCTACATAACTTTTGATTGCTGGATCAATCCAGGCATAATAGCTTAATCGGGGGACGGGTTAGCATGCTAACCCCTTAAGGGGTTGGTTTTTTGACACCCCCTTTTTAATTGGTCAGTTTTTCATTAATTATTGACAAGTATTAATGAAAATAAACATAATAAATGTTCTGTTATTAAATACAAAGTAAGCATTAAATACACCACATTAATTACCACTTTACTAGTATTTGTACCACTGCACTGATACTCAGATATGACATTGCTACGAGTGCACTGATATCGCTACCAGTGCAGTGGTATATCTACCATTACAGTGGTACAACGTATCAGTGCAGTGGTATATCTACCAGTACAGTGGTACACCGTATCAGTGCAGTGGTATATTTTTTGGAGGTGGTCGGAGGGAGTCTGTCGATGGGATTTTCACCAGAGAAGTGTGGCGGTCGGAGGAAGTCTGGTGGTCGGAGACTGCTGTAAAAGGAAAAATCAAATATAATGAGAGAATTCCTAATGTGTGTATTTAATTCCTAATGTGTATTTAATAGTGAGAGAATTCCTAATTAATATGGTACATTTAATTCCTAATGTGTATTTAATGTGTGTATTAATTATTGTGTATTAATTATAGTTATATTTAATATATTAGAGGGTGTCATTTTTCCAACCCCTAAGGGGGGTTAGCATGCTAACCGACCCCCTTAATCGGCCGTTTGCAACTATAGTATAATAGTGAGTGAGCGATCTTCTCTTGGTGCCATGACCGAACATTAATGCAGTTGAGCAGTGCAGATTTGCAGAATGGTGTTAGTTAATAGGCCACGAGAAATGAGTTAGACAGGCTGTCTATTATCCTTGTGGTCGTGACACAAAAATTCAAGGCAATCTTTCTTTGGCATTTACAAAACACTCGATCCATCGAGATGCGATCAATGAAAGAAAAAAACCTTGAATACTAAAATAGAATGGTAAATTGTAAAATGGATGATCGGCAATGACTTCAAAATGGAGGCTTAATTTACAGGACTGTCACGCAGACATTAATTTATCACCCATTATAGCCATTAAATGGATGGGGCCAACAGATAGAATTCAGTAGAGGAGCGTTTTCATGTTGGACTTTTGATCCCTATAATTATGACTCGTTATCTTAACCATTTTGCATAGCAATTGAATTTTCGACGTCTTGGTATAAGTATAGGTAGTTGAGTGTAAGAAGTCATATATTGTGTACTAGTTCAGTAGTTTGTTATATCAACCCCGCATCACCAATTTTGGCCACCTGCAGAGCAGAGCTTTGAGGCGTTCCCAGAGACTGTTACTGAGATTGTTAGAGCTTTGGATGGTTTTATGGGAACACACAAGAATGGCAAAACTTCTCCTCTCTTCTTCTCCTCCATGCAATCGATGTTCTGGTCTATCTGGGTATATAACAAAATCATTGTGTATTTTTTTTGTGATGTGGCTTTAGATCCTACTCGAGTTTTGTACAAACTAGTGACTTGGTAGGTTCTTGTTTCTTTGCGTTTGTTAGGATATCAAGTCGTTATTTATAACTGAAGATTTATCAACAACTCGAATTATCATGAACTGGTTCTTGACAATCACCAATTCACCATTATTATCAGTGGTAGGAAATAAAGTAGTCCGTAAAGATTTAGCCCCCACAAAAATTACCACATCTCAAATTAGTCCCCTCTCGTTCAAACTCCAAACTCCACCACCGATAATAATATATTAATCCTATCTTGGTTGTGCCTGTTAGAGTGTGGTATAAGATCCAGCAAAACCTTCTCCCAACAACTCGAGTTATTGGGACCAACTGGTTCTTGACATGGTATCAGAGCCTCGAACCAAAAGGTCATGTGTTCGAATCTCCACGACCCCCAATATTAACCGTTGTCTTTCAAGCACATGATATGGTGGGCCTGTGCAAACTTCAAGCCCATGGGTTGGCTTTCGTTTGAGGGGGCGTGTTAGAGTGTGGTATAAGATCCAGCAAAACCTTCTCCCAACAACTCGAGTTATTGGGACCAACTGGTTCTTGACAGTGCCTAGACAGCAAATGTTTGGGAGATTGATTGGGGAACGGTTCAGGTCAGTAACCTTATGGTGAGTAACCATGAGTAACCAGCCCACATCAGCATGACATCAGCATCTTCTCTCTCCTGGAAAGCCTTTAATTTTCCCCTCTTTAATCTTTGACGGACGATTTCTCACTCATTTTAAGTCGAAATTTAATTTTTTTTGCACAGTTAGATCAGATTAATTGTGCTCTTCAAAATGATATCCACTTTAATATATTTTTCGAACAAAAAAAAATTGAGCCATTTTTTACGAGTCTATACCATATGGTATTGATATAAAAGCACACCTATGGTTTGAAAAACGCACCATGGTGGTATGAACAAACCAAGACTGTAGGATAGTTGAATACATGATAGTAGAAGTATATTAATTGTCATTTACGACTTTTAACATTGTATACCACACAATACCACCCCGTACCAAGGTGGTATTGTATGGTATTGTGTGGTATTTTTTGGTTATGTAATTTGTTCACCCAGAAATTTGTAGATCCAATAGATCATGATGAACTCATCCCTTCTGTGCAAACGTTTTCAAAAACGAATTAAAAACGAAGAAGATACCATACAATACCACCCCGTACCAGGGTGGTATTGTATGGTATTGTGTGGTATTTTTTTGTCCTGTAATTTGTTCACCCAGAAATTTGTAGATCCAATAGATCATGATGAACTCGTCCCTTCTGTGCAAACGTTTTCAAAAAACGAATTAAAAACGAAGAAGATACCATATGGTATGCAGTTGGTACCGAGAGGCCAGAATTTTTTTTTTCTAAAAAAATATTGAAAATTGTTCTCATTTGGTAGAGCACGATGAACTCGTTCCATCTGTGCAAAAAAAATTAAAATCCGAGTTAAAACGAAAAAGATATGAGTCGAATAAGAAAGCTAGGAAACATAAAAATTGTCTGTAATTTTCCATCCTTAGATCTGGATTTTCTAAATGAAGGGTCCAGATTTGGTTATTGATGGATGCATAACCCATGGTTATGCACCCTATCTTGAGCCGATTGATTGATGATAAAAAAGGAGAATAGATCAGATCAGTAACCTTATAGTGAGTAACCATGAGTAACCTGTGCACATCAGCATGACCTCAGCATCCCTCTCTCTCTCCTGAAAAGCCTTTAATTTTTCCCTCCTTAATCTTTGACGGACGATTTCTCACTCGTTTTAAGTCGAAATTTAATTTTTTTTTGCACAGTTAGATTAGATTAGTTGTGCTGTTCAAAATGATATCCACTTTGATATATTTTTCAAACAAAAAAAAAATTGAGCCATTTTTTACCAGTCTATACCATATGGTATTGTCTGGTATTGAAATAAGAGCATGCCTATAGTTTGAAAAGCGTACCATGGTGGTATGAACAAACCAAGACTGTAGGATGGTTGAATACATGATAGTAGAAGTATATTAACTGTCATTTACGACTTTTAACATTGTGTACCACAAGATACCACCCCGTATTAGGGTGGTATTGTATGGTATTGTGTGATATTTTTTTGGTCATGTAATTTGTTCAGCCAGAAATTGGTAGATCCAATAGATCATGATGAACTCGTCCCTTCTGTGCAAACGTTTTCAAAAACGAATTAAAAACGAAGAAAATACCATATGGTATGCAGTTGGTACCGAGAGACCAATTATTTTTTTCTCAAAAAATATTGAAAATTGATCTCATTTTGTAGAGCATGATGAACTTTTTCCATCTGTGCAAACAAAATTAAAATCCAAGTTAAAACGAAAAAGATATGAACCGATTAAGAAAACTAGAAAAAATAAAAAAAGTCTTTAATTCTCCATCTTTAGATCTGAATTTTCTAGATGAAGGGTTCAGATTTGGTTATTGATAGGTGTATAACCCATGATTATGCACCCTATCTTGGATCATAAAAAAGTGGTGAATGGATCAGCCCTGGACTGGCAAACAAAGTCGCAGAATTAGGTTTGGCGTTCACAGATATCAGATGATGATTCCCTGGCCTGGCCACTTTTTCTTTTGTTTTCAGGAAAGGAAGATTAGGATCATATGTTCATAATGTTGACAGTGGAGAATAAATAGAAAAAGGCGCAGTACGTAGTAGATTATATAATACTGGACCACATTCCAGGCTAAAGCAACTTTCATTATTGTTTCCCTGCTGCCGATCGAGCCAAAGATAGATAATGAACGTCGTCTGAGAAGACCCAGTCTATCTAATCCCAACAAATGCTCCCGCCCTAGTCCTGAATTAGTTCAGACTGTCGTCCCTATCCGGCGGCCCATTCCCTTAACCTGTTTTCCGGTTACGATTAAGGTGAGTTTTGCCGACAAAGAGGTTATTTTATGAACTAATACCAAACGGCGCCAATTAAGAAGGTTCAATTCTAACCAAGAAATTTCAATATACTAGAGACTGCCGACAGTTAAGTTGAGGAGTTCCTACTGACCTGACCGGCTGGATTGGTGTAAATCTCACATTCTGAAAGAAAGGCATTAGCAGCCATTGTCAACTCTCCATGCAGATTCACTCCCTTTTTTTTCTCCCTCACAATCACACACTATTCCCCGCGTGAAATTAATGAGCACAACCAAACCACCTCAACCGTAACCCTGCCCAATTAAAGCAAATCGCCCACGCTACTTTACTACTTGTTCCCTCGGATCCCCTCTCCTCTATAAATAAACCCACAAACTCCTACCACTAGCCACCACCACCTCTTCACATCTCAGCCCTAGCTACCAATCTTTCCTTCCATTTTTAGCCATGGCCAACAGATCATACGTCTTGCTCCTATCCTTGCTAGGGTTAGCACTACTCCTTCAGCAACATTGTGCCACTGCACAGCAAGTCCCCTGCTACTTCATCTTCGGCGACTCCCTCGTCGACAACGGCAACAACAACCAGCTCCAATCCCTCGCCAGAGCCGATTACATGCCCTACGGCATCGACTTCCCCGGCGGCCCTACCGGTCGCTTCTCCAACGGCAAAACCACCGTCGACGTCATCGGTACGTCATTTAAAAACGGTCGCAACATTCCTTAAATTAACTTTCTCCAATGTGAGAAGAGTACTGATTTGTAAGTGTTTTGCTCTTGTAGCGGAGCAACTGGGATTCAACGGCTACATCCCGCCATACGTGTCGGCAAGAGGGCAGGCGGTCCTGCGAGGAGTCAATTACGCCTCGGCGGCGGCGGGGATTCGGGAGGAGACCGGCCGGCAGCTGGGAGGCAGGATCAGCTTCAGCGGGCAGGTGAGGAACTACCAGAACACGGTGAGGCAGGTGGTGAGCTTGCTAGGGAGCGAAGCCGCGGCGGCCAACCTTCTGAACAAGTGCATTTACTCCATCGGGCTGGGAAGCAACGATTACCTGAACAACTACTTCATGCCGCAGCTCTACAACACCGGCAGGCAGTTCACCCCGGAGCAGTACGCCAACGACCTCATCCAGCGCTACACTCAGCAGCTCCAGATCATGTACAACTACGGCGCCAGGAAGTTCGCGCTGATTGGAGTCGGGCAGATCGGATGCAGCCCGAGCGAGCTGGCACAGAACAGCCCCGACGGGAGGACCTGTGTGCAAAGGATCAACGCCGCGAATTCGATCTTCAACGACAAGCTCCGGTCTCTCGTGGATCGGTTCAATGGGAATACCCCCGATGCCAAATTCATCTACATCAACGCGTACGGGATTTTCCAGGACTTGATTGACAGCCCTGCCCGTTTCGGTGAGAAATCCAAACTCCCCCTCCCCTGTTTTTTTTTTACCCCCTACCCCTGAAGATTGAAAAACAGAGTATTTTTTTTTCTTTTTGTTATTATCAGGGTTGAGAGTGACGAACGCTGGGTGCTGTGGAGTTGGGAGGAACAACGGTCAAATCACCTGCTTGCCATTCCAAACACCGTGCCGGAACAGGAACGAGTACTTGTTCTGGGATGCTTTCCACCCGACGGAGGCGGCGAATATAGTCGTCGGACGGAGGTCTTACAGAGCAGCGTCTCCTTCCGATGCTTACCCTTACGATATCGCCCGCCTCGCCCAGCTCTAGAATCAGAGAGAACGGCGGAGGCATTGCGGCAGTCCGTCTTCATAATTGATGAATTATTGCATACTTTTCGCGGCAACCATATAAAAATACTCTGTTTTTTTTTTGTTTTTTGTTTTAGTATCTTCATGCAAATGTTCAAACAGTTTGTGTCTGTCTTGTCTCTGTTTTTGCCACCTATTTTGTAATGTAGTAAACGATCGTGTAACGAAGAAAATGGAAGTTAAAAAAGAATCAAGCCATCTTTATTAGAACCCATTATCTTGAGCTGTGAAGCATTGAATTGAAACTCCAATTCAGTTCCTAGATTCCTACTTGTAAAACGTTTCACATGCTACAAGATCTGTTTCAAAGTCTGGTAGAGAAATGGACCGACGATATAATTGGCGGCTTGGGTTGGATGGAAGGCGTCCCAGTACACATACGAATCCCTCTGATCGCAGAATGTTCCATTGGGGATGCAAAGGCCTACGGTCTGCACTTGGCAGCAGGGCTCCTGCGTGTTTGGAAGAGCTGCACAAAGGCGAAAACAAAACATTCATTTTAGGGTTCAATGGTGACTGAAGAAAAAAGGGATTAATGGAAGGGGATTTTTTTTTTGTTACATCGGAGAAGAAGGTCGGTAGCGGCCATGGTGTCGAGGTAGACGAATTTGGCGTCATGGAAATCTTGGTTGAGTCTGCCAGCGAGGTTCCTGAGAAGTTTGTTGAAAGGGACGACGGCTTCGTTCTGGGAATCCACGCAGCCTTTTCTGCCGGCGATTGTCTTGGCGAAGGGGGTGCATCCGACTTTTGAAATCCCGGCCAAAGCTATCTTCCTCGCTCCCAAGTTGTAAAGCGTCTTCCGTAGTTCATCAAGCCAAAAACACATGAAATTTATGTCTGTTAGTATTAACGTGAAAATTCGTCATCAAGAATGATAAACAAATTCAAACATCAACCCGATTTTTTTTCTTAGGGATGAAAGAGCATTAAAAAGAAAAGCAAAAATCATTGATTTCGAAAAGATGGCTAAAAAGGAAAGCGTTGGATGCGAGCCAGTTTGTGGGCTCAAAACTCAAAAGGGTCATGCATATGGAAGGGTCACATAGCAGGGAGCAGAAGAATGGGCCCAAGCCCTTGGCATCAGTTAGTCAAAGGGAGACTCTAACGTCTCATTATAGAAGTCTGGCTCAAGCAATATTTGTCAAGAACAGAGATTGTTTGTTGCGACCCAGAATTTTGAGATAGGTGTGTCGGCCCATAAAGATAATTTTAAAATAAAAATTAAATAATTAAACATAAATATAAAAAATATATTTTATTCATAAATTTCACCAATTTCATTGTGTCAGTGAAGATTTCTTAATTACATTTGTGCATTAGGTTGAAATCAAATCTTTTTTATGTAAACAACTAAACAATTATTCATAAATTGGTCACTCAACTGATACCAAATATCATTCCAGATTAAACTTATATATGAAAAATGTCATTTTGTAACTTGCAATTGCAAGAGGTAAAGTCAACACTCATTTAAGATGGAGAAACTAGGATTGGAAGCTGAAAGAGTGGCCACAGGCGTCAACGTGGAACTTTGATGAGAATGAGGAATTCACTGGCACGATGCCGACAATTGGAGGGTGGCGACAAGCGTCAACGTGAAAAGCAATAACTAAACAAGAAAGCAAGTTGAAAATTAACTTTATGAAAAAATATGGAAGAAGCTACAGAGAAAAACGACATGAAATTCGCTATCTAATTACTTGACGCAACCAGCTTATTAGTCAGTTCAATTTTCATTCAATTTATCGAGATTATATCTAAGGTGATAGCTATTTCTCTGAATACTCACTACATACTAAGTAGCCAATCACTTTTTTTTATAATAAACTAATCAACTACCTACTCTAAAGTATGATAACTCCTATATTTACATATTTTAATAATATTATGACAACAAATTTTTTTTAATTTAACAAGGTGTGTCGATTATAATTATCAAAGGTGTGTCAGAGGTCCCATGTTCGAATTTTTTGTACCAAAAAAATGTGGGTTCCTTACAAAAATTTTGGGCCAAGGTGTGTCGGGTGACACACCTTCCTCTATGGTATGTCCGCCCCTGGTTTGTTGTGATAGCTCGAACCGTAAACACCAAGTAATTTTATTTGAAGTATCGTGGAGATTTCTCAGTGATTCTATTATGGTATAAGCCTGGCTCTAGATACCCATTGATCCGACTCAATTCGGTCCAGTTCTGAGAGTTGAGCTGTGTCTGCTTATCTATAGGACTATCTTAAGATTGAGTCATCTTTTTTGTCTTGCAAAGGTCGCATCAACTTAAAATAGGGTCACTTTTGCTCCTATGGCACATAGCATACAAACAACTAGTGAATTGAATTTCTTCTGTCCAAAAGGTTGGACCCGTTTGTAAAATTTTATAAGTTTAGGTACTTTAATGCAATCTAAAAAATGTAAAGGTACCAAAACTTAATTTTGCAAACAAAATTTTTCGACCTATTTGTAAAAAAAGATTAGACACTAAATTGTAAGAAAAAATAAATTTGGGTACTAAAATATAATTTTTGGACCTTTTTTCAGTACCCAAATTTACTTTAATACAATCTAAAAAATGTAAAGGTTGTTGATGTGGGCTGACCCGCAAGCTTGGCCCGACCCTACCCAATCCAAGTGGGTCAGACAAGATCAAGGGGAAATAGGGTCGAGTTTTTAGCTCGACCTATAAGACTGAGTATTTTAGGGCAGTTCTCGTGTCAGGGTTGGATTTGACCCAATTTCACCCCCTAATTGTCAATTAGGTCGACCACTTATGGTAAATTAGGTCGAGCACAAGATTGGTCAAGCCAACCACATAATCTATCAGATAGATCATATAATAAATTAGGTAAAACCACTTCTGCTTCTGCAAAATTATTGATGATTAGTATTGCAGAGATTTATCAAGTTTCCCAATAGATAATTTGGGTGAAAACATTGAAAACTCTAGAAGCATAAAAGATGAAAATAATAATGAAAACATTCAGAAAGTACAAACAAAAACCACGATTCAAAATTTGACTCTCTAAAATTTAATAATGTACAAAAAGGTTATTGTTGTTCATAACTTATAGAGCTCGTTTGCTTGTTGGATTTGAAAATGAGAGTTTTGAGTTTTCAAAACCTTTGGATTTATGATGGATTTGTTGCATTATGGATTTGGAAGAGTACATTGTTTGTGTAGTTTATTTTTGTCATAGATTCATGATGGATTTGTTCACATTTTACCTTCATGATCAAATCCCAAATGAAATGTGGGATTTGCAAATCCGTGGGGTCCACGGATTTGGATCTAAAAAATGGGTCCAAATCCGTGGGCACCACGGATTTGTGTCCCTTAGTAAACAATGAACTTGTGCCAATTCCATTATGCTAAGGATTTGAGTACCAAATCCATCACCCAAATCACACAAGCAAACGATACCTTGTATCGACTATCTTTCAAACAGTAACATTACATTCTAAACTCATAAATGGTAAAAGTTTATTCCACCAGTAAAATCCTAAGTTATTGACTTTAACCCCTCTATACTACACACCACCATGAACATTAACACCTAAAATCCTAACATTTTGAACAAACCTAAAAGATGAAACCCAACCCTAAATCCTAACCTTGAACTCCTTAAAAGTAATACCTAACACTTTGATTCATAAAATCTAGACTAACCCTGAACCCTAGTAATAAAAAGCAATGAATTCTAAACTTTAACTACGAAATCTCTCCCTAAACCCTGAAGCCTAATTTATGACCACCCTAAGACATGACATTAAACTAAGGCTTTCATATGCTAGAAAAATCTAGAACATGTCAAGATTTTATTGAAATTGTATGATCCCGTCAACTAGTTGTTGACATTGATTGGCCAATTTTTCCTAAATTTGGCCAAATTTAAAACTGTGTGTCTCATATAACTAGTGTGTCATTAATGTAATCTTGTGGGTTGATGTATCTCGTTTATGAGTTAGGGTTTAGATTCGTTATGAACGAGTAACGAATCATATTTTATATTATTAAATTGACATGAATCAATTTTGACTCTTGATTTTATATTCATACTTCTTCACTATGATCGTTATTATATTGGCTACATTTTTTTCATTGGCATAGTCTATAGTCTTTATATGATCGCTACCTAGTCCTTGGCAACTTTTTAAAAATTATTTTGGCCAAAACTCCTGGTACGTAATAAATAAATACTTCCACACAATAACTTGAACATCTAAATTAACGAAAACAACAAATTCCACATTTGATAAATGATCTTTACCTTGATCTGATTATAGTATCGGCCCACGAGACGGGAGGCGAATATGCCCGGCGAGTACTCCTTGCTGGCGTTGGAGAACTGGGGAAGGAAATAGTTGTTGATGTAGTCGTTGCTCCCAATATTGACATAGTACAGGCACTGCTTCAGCCGATTCGAAACGGCTCCCTCGTTTCCCAACACTTCCCCGAAACGTGACACCGTCACTTGGTGATTGCTCAACTGCTTGCTCAGATCTATGTTGTTTCCCTGCTCATATTACGCTAATTATTGTTCTTCTTAATGTTGTAATTTAACCAAACTAAACATCAACAATTACCTGAAATTTGCCGGTCTCGACGAGGATTCCGGCCGACCCAGAAGCATAGTTCACACCTTGGAGCAGCCCCGTCGCCGGGATCGCCGATGCAAATGCTGGAATGTAGTTGGGAAGTCCCAGGCGTTCAGCTGTAACTCGCAACATGACGGGATATGATCATTAGCTAAAATGATGATTAACATTTAGATAACGTTTTAACTAATCTGAGTCAAGACTCACTAATCACGTCGGCCACGGTTTTGCCGTTGGAGAATCGGCCGGTGGGGCCGCCGGGGAAATCGACGCCGTAAGGGAGGTAATCGACTTTAGCTGCGGTGTTGAGAAAGTTGTTATTCCCGCCGTCAACCAACGAGTCCCCGAAAATGAAAAAGCAGGGTGTTACCGGCTCGCCGATAACCCATTGCTTCTTTCCGAACCAGAGCGCCAATAGGCAGCACGTTACGAGAAGTGGATGGGAATTCCATTGTCTTGCCATTACAGGGGGAAAAAGACGAACGAAAATATGTTATTGCTCTTGGAATTGAGTTTGTATGGAAGGAATGAGAGGGACTAGCAAATGGATATATATTGGAATTGTTGATTCAAAATAGGAAGTCATACAAGGACAATGTGTTCATATGCTATGGATCTGTATTTCCTCACTTTCCTAATTTCATAAAAAAAAAAAGTTTGGTAAGCTCTTCTTATATATGTCGACTTGAAATGTCTCGAACTGGTTATGATTATCGAGTTTGATAAAGATGTAATTAAAATTTGTTTGAATACAATGATGGATTGTTTCAATTTTTGCTACGTGTGTCAACTATTATGTACAATAGAATGAATATCATGCGTGTTGGTAAAACAACGTGATTGTGACTATATTATTTTAATGCTTGATATGATTGTTAAGTTTTTCTATTGATCTAAAGTTACTATATAGATTATTTGTTACCACAGGTCCTTGCTTTTCTTGAAAATATTAACGTGTGTTTGGTATGACTTCTCAATTTTTCTGATGAGCAGCAAATCCAAAGAATGCATGAGATATACTTGGGGAATTTTTTTAAGTCCCTTCTTAGTGTGATTGTTCTGACTTCTCCACTACGACAAAAGGGGCATTTAGTGACAACCCTTTTCTGTTCAAATCAAATAAGCAATTCCTTAAACAAGAAACTCACCATTACCATTGACAATACATTTTGGAAAATCATAATTGTGCATGGTTAAAATGTTTGGATGTTTTGAAATTTCCATTCGTGCATGTCCCTATGCAATGTTTCTAATCAATTCAATTGTGTAAAAAAAAGAGAGAAAAATTCAACTTGGACTAGGGGAAGGGAATCGAGTGTCTCCTCCATGGTATCATTACCAACTTTATTTGGTAGAAATATTATTTACCTTCTCTACATAGTATATTTTAAAACAATCTCACTAATCTACATTTATATATTACCAAATTATCAATCCTAATCTTCAAAATCGATTTTGACTGGTCAGACCACTCAGTTTTGACTTTTTCCCAGAAATGTCCATCTGCAGCGTATACTAACCGTTAAGATGACCGGTTCCGATCGGACCAAGTTGAACCGATCGACTTCATACGGGTTTGACAACCTTGCTATGAACCCTCCAAGTATTGATTCTTCAGGCTAGCAATTGATTCAGTTCGGTTATAACCGGGACTGTTTAGTCGGTTCTTGGTTAACGATAACCACTTTGCTTACTGTTAACTGCACCATTTATATTAGTCAGTTAATAGTAACTGCATAGTCGATTCTCGATTATTTTTCGATTAACCGGATAATCGTTAACCAAGTTATTCGGAAGGATATACCAAAATAATCGATCGGTAACCTAAATAAAACAGAAGACTTCCTCCTTTTTTCAACTGTACATTTTTGTATATCCTTTCCTACATATTTATGTGCTTTTTTTAGTTGTTATCATTGAATAAAAAATAATTTAACATACGTAACAATCCAACACAAATACACAATGACACCATTCTACCATTAAATTTGATTAAAAAAGCAGACAAGAATAAAAGACCGAACAACAAACTCAACTCACACTACAAAAAAAGGTCTATGGCAAGGGTTATTTTCATTCGTAGCAAGGTTTTAACCCTGCTACAGGATGTAGCAAAGGTTCACAAAACCCTTGGACGGACCCTTGGCAAAGCTGGCCTGCTACGTGTAGCAAGGGTTATTAGCGATCCTTGGTGCAAGTCCCCTGCAACAGTTGTAGCAAGTGTTTAAACCCTTGCTACACGTATGTGAAAAATTCAAGCGAGAGTTGCTCGTACCATCGGTTAAAACCCTTGGATAATTTGTTCCGACAGCTAGCAAGGGTTTGAACCCTTGCTACATGCATGTGTAACTTTATGTAAAATTGTTGAAGTACGCTACTTGCAAGGGTTAAAACCCTTGCACAGTTTGTGACTAAAGCTGAAAAACATTTTGTGTCGAAATCAAAATGGTCGCTAAAATTCGTCACTAAAGAGAGGAAACATGATTTGTGGCAATAGTTTGGTTGCAAATATCCTAGTCATTAAAAACAAATCCAGAACCAAGTTTGTCACTAAAGTTCATACCAAATACCCAAAATCAAAACATACTCAAAAGAACCCAATTCAAAGCTACATGAGTGGACCATTTCCAAAATGCTTCATATGACATTTAATCACAAAGCTCGAGATCTCATTGATGGAGCAGGAGTACTAGTGGCACCCTGTTCATAAAATAAAATAAAAAACCATAAAGAAACATATCAGATGACAAGTCAAATAATGAGATGTGAAGGAAATGATGAGAGATTAAGCAGTGGCTAGGATCTCTTCATTGCTAAAAACATCTTCAAAACAAGTTGCAATTGATTAAACAAGTTGCCACTCAATTCTGCAAAAATGTTGAAGTTCTCCTATAATATGATTCTCTATATTCTAAACCTAGTCATAAACACACAAGCTTCCACAATCAAAACCACCCTTCAATCATCAAAATACCACATAATCAAACAATCTCAAGTTTCCCAAGATAGTAAACTATCAATCATGCATACCACCTTTATGCGTTGATTAAAAAAAAAGAGATTAACAAACAGATTGTGCTTCCAAACATATTCAAGTACACAAGTAATGACACCCAATCAAGAAAACAAGCAACAGAGTAATAGCAGAGCAAGGATTATCTTTTATGACGAGCCGAACAATTGTGATTCCAAATAATTGCACTTCAAACATACCATTCATATGCATGTAGTAGCAGAGTATGGATCAACTTATACACCCTCTACAAATTTTCCCAAAAATTATCCTTAAACCTCGACCAGAGTAGAAAACCCAGAACCAAAAACAGTCAGACATAATTGACGAGGAAAAAAGACAGATGAGACATTACCTGATTGTTTTCAGCATCTTCCTTCTAGTTTTGTCCTGGAAACTACCTACTGATGAACCTCGCCATGGCCTCCAAGTGTTTCTTCACCTCTATTAACTCATCTTTCAAAGCAGTCGCATCCTTACATGAATGACCAGCCGAACAAGATCCACATGCAGCCCCTCTCGAGCACACTCCAAAATATGCGGTCGGAGTTGGCCCTAACCTCATGCATCGAAGCCTCCCATTATGCTCTGGGTCCGCTAGCTTCCGAAAAACTTCCTCCTTAGGCCCTCCATTTCGTCTGCTTTATCCTTTATGAAGCAACAATTTAAGAATGCATATGAATCAGAATGCAACATAATAAATTAGTAATAATCAAGGAAAATTATTGGTCTTACCATGAAATCCTTAGCATAGTCATTAATGTATGTTCCGTCATTCCTCTTATGGAGAACTTCAAAAACTTCAAGTCTAGTCTGGGCTCTGCCTAATTTTTCCCTCTGTAAGCATTAACATATTCGAACTTAGAACAACATATACAAGTTTCATAATTATCTAGAGCTAAAATGGATTGAATTTTTACAAATTCCTTTCTTACCCTTGTGATACTTCTCCTTCCTACCGTGTGATGCAGCTTCTTCTTAGCATTGTCGCTGTTTATTTTACTCATTTTCCGGAAAATAAAAATTATTTTGTCATCATGTGTGCATCTAAACTAAGATATATTACGCATAATGCTTTCCACTGTTGGTAAACCGTTAGTAATCTTACCTTGCTTTTCTTTGTAAACTAGCTAGCTACCAAGGTCTTCTGTTATGGTGTTGACCCAAACTTTTCTGTCCCATCAAAATGAGAACTCTGAATCCTAAACAGATGACTTTCATCCAACCAACGACGATGTGCCATGTAACAAAACTTCCCACTCTTGTCTAGCCATTTTGATCAAGTAGATTCACAACAAACAGGACAACCAAATCTACCATGTGTGTTATATCCAGATAAGTTACCATATGCAGGAAAGTCATTTATGGTCCAGAGCAAATAAGCCCGCATAGTAAAATTCTATTTAGTGAAAGCATCATAAGTAGATATCAATATTATTACCGAGCCCTTTGGGTCCAGGAATTATCATTGATAATATGAAAGTGGATTGTTTCAAGTACATCCATGGATGCATATTATAAGGTATCAACACCGCATGCCATGTACTATGGGTTGATCTCATTGATCGATGCGGACTAAACTCATCACTACTTAGAGCCAATGTGATATTGCGTGGATCGGAAGAAAAACTAGGATGTCTAGCATCAAAAGATTTCCAAGCTTCTCCATCAGCTGGATGTCTCAACAATCCATCTTTTTTACGAACTTCATCATGCCACCTCATGTATTTGCCGTCTTTTCCGAAGCAAACAGTCTTTGTAACCTCGGGATTAAAGGAAAATAACGCAAAACTTTTGTTGCTTTCACCTTGAGTCTATCGATTTTGCCAACAGTATACCTAGTTTTATGATAAACATAGCAAGAAACGACATATTTTGTAGAATTCCAATACAAACTGCAATAATTCGGGCATGCTTCAATTTTGACATAATCCAAACCCAACTTCTTAACCATCTTCTTAGCAGCATAATGAGATTTTGGTAAGGATATACCTTCCGAAAATGCTTGCAGTAACAACTCAAGTAACATGGTGAAGGGATTTGCAGTCCATCCATTGTGAACCTTGAGGTGATATAAGTGCATCAGAAATGATAGTTTTGAAAATATCTTGCATCCCAGATATAGCTCCCCATCTGCATATTTTATCAAATCTTCTATTCCACATGTATCGTACAACGGATCATCCCATGCTTCATCACCATCATTATCTTCATCACTATCCTCCAAGACATTTCCATCCTATTCACAAGGTGGTTCATTATTCACCAGGTCTTCACGGTGAAAAACATCCCAAAATAGCCCCGTCAGATCCGCTCTCATTGTTGTAATTGATTGAGTATGAGTAGATATCCTCTCTATGTAAACATCCAAAACATTCGTCTGTGACGAGGAAGAAGTAGCAACAATACTAGCCTGAGGTGAACATAAAGTTTCTCCATGAAACTATATCCTCTGAGAATGCCGTCACAAATGAGGTCCACCCGTATATCTCACATGTTTGTGCATATA